GGGGGGGGGGATCTCTCACTATAATGCAAAAGCTAGAATTCATCATCAGACTCTAAGGAGGGCTTTTAATAAAATTAATAAAATAACCATTCTCCAACAAATCATCCCTATGTCCTGTACTGAATTATAGCGCTCTTATTTCCCCTTTAAAGGCTCCACAGAAAAACTCCCCGCAAGCTTCAAGAGGGCACAGTTGCAAATTATGTATCTGAATCTCCGAGTTTCTTCAAGCTGCACAGTTGCCTTCCTTCTGTCATGCCTTCCGAAAAAAACAAACAAACAAACACACTGGAAAAAGAATTCACCATCTGCCGATAAATACTGGGGAGCAATCCAAAGCATGGAAAAAAAAAGCACCCAACAAAAACACAGGGAAGCAAAGCCGTTAACCATATAACTTACCAAGTCATTTAATTCATGAACAGTCACTGATTGGGCACGGAGCCCTTTAAAGGGCGGGAAGCCAGGGTGAATCAGCACACAGGAAGAGCCCAGTTCTGACAATGAGCACACAGAGAGGGAGCAGGGAGTCTGGTCCACACTTGGGCGTTGGTGAATGAGGGGTGGAGGGGTGGCCAGGGAGGCCTCAGACAAGGAAGTGAAGGAGTGGGGGCGTGGCCTCGAGGGGGCGGGGTGAAGGGGAGGAGCCGGGGTTGGGATCAGGGTGTTCCCGGTGGAGGGGGCGAAGGGTGGGGGCGGAGCCTGGGGAGGGGCCAGGGGCGGGGCCTGGGGCACACTTACTGCTTTGGGTTTGAAGGGCGGCTGCACCTCCTTGTTCTCCAGCTTCTCCCAGTCCATGTAGCGGAAGAAGGCATGCTCCTTGATGTCGCGCTCGCCCTCCGGCCCGCAGCCCAGGCGCTTCCCAGGGTGCTTGGTCATCAGCTGGAGCAGCAGGAGAGAGAGAAGAGTTAACAGAGGGGGGATTTCGTCTTGGATTTCCATGCTAGCTGGGAGTGTGAGACTGGTGGGCGTAAGAGGATGCCAATCTGGAACTCCTATCTGTTGTTGTAGTTAATGTAAAAAAATAGACCAACGCAGGAGAAGAGTAAAATCTTTTAATGGGACTTTGAAAGCAGTGGGGTTCCTTCAAAGATCAGGAGAATCATGTAAAGGAAAGTGGATTTTCTGAAACCACTCCTCTTGACCTTGAATGAGAATGCCGAAATTCAGGTGACTTACAGGTACAGTACTTCTTGGAATAAATGAAAAACAAAAAGACTGCAAGGAGGAGAGAGACTGAGTGCATCGGGACAGTTTGGAATAAGGGTACAGGGACACATGCCCCTGTGATGGGATCCCCAGTTTACCAAAGTGAGAAGCAGGTTTTAAATTAAGGCAGGTGCAATATGGGGATAAAATCACAAGCACAGGCTGAGAAGCGGGAAAACTGGCCCTAAACCAAACTGACCTACTGGCTACACAGTTCTGGGTCATTCTGCTTTCTTTTGGAATAATTGAAGTCATTCACTGTGGAAGGCAAAGACCTGATAGCCGTGGAATTTCTACACAAATGAAGAAGGAGGCCAAATCGCCAGGGGTTCAAAGACAAACAGGTTGCCGGGGTTGCCGTTATCAAACAGTATAAAGTATAAAGAAGGATGAATCTTAGAACACAGCACGGCCACAGCCTCAGAAAAGCTGGAGCCTGTTTTCTAAAGAAGGCAACGGCAGAAGAGTGTTTTACTGGGCTAGAGCCTTCTGACACGAAGAGCCTTTCATGCTGGAAGGGGACGTGATGAGGCCTATTGAAGAAGACACTTGACTGTCAATGGGCTTCCACGCCATTGAAAGCTGAGCTCTCGGCTTCTTTCAGCTCCGCGGGCTCAGGAAGTCTTCTGTTTGGCTCCGGCAGCTGCCAGCGTCCTCTCAATACCTCGAAACGCAAGCCAGGATCCTAATGAACCGACGCGGAAAGCCGGAAAAAAACACCTCAGAAGCTGTTTCCCAAAAAAAAAAACCACTAATGAAGGGGTTTGCTGGAGAGCGTACCCCCAGTAAGAAATGTCGAGGGCTTCCCAGGCTCACTCTCGGCTGAGAGCTTCCTGTGCTTGGTCACAACGTGAACCTGACAGACAACGGCTCCGGATTTCTGGAGAAGCGGGAAGCCAGTGACTCCGCCCCTTGCTCCCTAGGCTCCGCCCCCGCGTCCAATTGCATCCATAGCTGAATCGCTCCAGCCAGAACTCCTCATTCGGATCTGCTCGGCTAAAATACCCCTGCAGAACAGTGCCTCTTGAAGATGCTCTCTCAGTGTGAACTGTGTGGCAGTAAAAAAGTCCTAGGCCTCGTTGAGAGGGAGAATGCTATCGGGGTGAGCTAGTTCCTCTCTCCCTCTGTTCTTTTACAGTGGTATTAATTCCTTAATTTGGGCCCCCCCACTCAGTATGAGACACTGATACTGACAGCGGTCTACAGCCCCTCGCCATCCGTGAAAGCCATTTCAAGGCTCGCTTTGTAATCGCACGTCTGGGTGCACCTAGCAATCTGGAGAAAATTGTTACAATCTTCCTCTGTAATGCCGACTGCACTGCTGCTAGAGCAGGTCCCCTGAGCTTCCTGCGCGGCCCGAGATTAAAACGTTCAAACACAAAGTGCCACCAGACAGCTTCGTTTCGACTCTCTGTGCCACTATTGATTAAAATACTCATTTGTATTCGAAAACACCCTCAATTATTTATTCTTTCAGGATTCCAGCCTTGCCTCCGCGTTAAAGCTCTTTTTCCGGGCGCCCCCTTTTCTTCTTCAAACAGGAACCCGTGTTTCCACCTGTGAACCCCGAACACAAGGAGCGCGAGGAAGACGATGCTGCTTTAATGGAATTTTGCGTTCGGGGGGTAGCTGCTCCACCGCTGCCTGCTAACAAGCTACATTTCGCTCTGTGCGTTTTCTGCCTCTGTGTAATAACCCAATCCTGCTCCCTCCTCACCCCCAGCTCGGTTTAGTAGTCTGCACGTCCACCGTCTACTAACGTTTTTTTTTTTTAATTGGCTCAATCAAGCATCCTGTCTTATCTCCCATCGGCATTCTGCCTGCTCGCAGCTGAGGCACACAAACAGACCCCTCCGCGGGCGCTCTGACAGGCTCATTGATTAGACGGACCTGGGTCCTCATTTCCTCTGGCCCTTTCTTCAGGAGAAAGTCCCGTGGACAAAGTCACCCGGACAGGACCCCGTGTGGGAAAGCTCTCCCTTCGCTGTATCAACTTCTGGCACTGCACACAAGGCCGGGCGGTCACTGGGTTCTCCCGTTCTTTTTTTTTTTTAACTTTATTGAGCTGCAGACTTTGAAGTAAAAGCCCTTACCGCTCTGCGTGGTGAAAACAGGAGTTTCAATGGCGGCCGATTCACCAGGCGTTTGGGGGTAACAGGTGTGTTTGCTCAGCTGCGGGCTTTGGGAATGAGCAGCAAGGAAACGTCTCCTTAACGAGCGCGTGAGGGCAGCGTGGCAGACTGGCGGCCTCCTCTGCCTGCCCCACCTGTACCCCTGCAGCTCTGTTTTGGGGGGGGGCGAGGAAGACCGCTCCCATAGCTCAGGGCACAGGCGCCAGGCCACCGGGGCCGCAGGATGAAGGACGCCCTTCTCCTGGTGAGGCCACACTGGCAGCAGCTTATCCGTCACTCTGTGTTGAAGTGCAGAAAGGCTGCCGTCTCTGCTTGGCGGACTGCCTCATCCAGTCCAGGTGAGCCGTTGGCTCGAGCTGGGCACAAGTCGGGATATACCCTGGACCGGACCCCAGGGGCCACGCAGACACAAACACGCACGCTCACGCCAGGGCCAGTTTTCCCAGAAACCAGCTGAGCTACCAGGAAGTCTTTGGGCCATGGAAGGGAAACTCCCCAGAGCCTTCTTCAGGCACTGTACATGCATATTCTCATCAAGGTACACATCAGAATAAAAGAGGAAAAAAGTTATTAAAATTCCTAACATAAGCAAGTCGATTCATTATTTACTGCTTGTATTAGCAAGAATCTATTAGAATACAGGTCTCACCAGACAACCCCAGTAATACTCCCTTTACTCTGTCTTATTGTGCATTCTCTAGGCGACTTCTTTCAGCATGGCTCCACTGTCCAAGGTTAAGCATCAGAGAAAAAAGCAGAAGGTGAATTATGAACCCAGTGCTTCATGCTGCCAAAAGCGTCTCGCTTTTACTTGGTACAAAACCTGTCACAGGTCGATGGGCTGTAGGTCTCTGCGACACAAAACAGAACGAAGCTTTTGCTCCGGGACTAAGACCCCGAGTCAATTATTCAATTTCCCACCTGCCAGGTGGATGTTGCTGTGCTTGCCCACCCAATTCATCTGTTTGTAGGGTGTGGTGTGCGTGTGTGAAAGGGGCTCATTCTGAATGTGGTTAAGCTCTGGGCAGGCTGAAGAAGAGACATGGACACCTGTTGCGTACCAGGTGCGCAGCAAGGGTACGGTATGTGGCATTTCAGAGCAACTGGACGTCAGAGAATACGTTCTCAAAACATCTACAGCATTATGTAGAATGTATGGTTATTTTTAAGGTCCCAGACTCAGAGACAGTTCTTACCCCCGCACAATCAAACTATTAAACTCCCAGCCTCTCTCACCTATGATCTGAACCTCACAGTGCCTTCTTTCTTACCAAAAACTCAAACACACGTGGAAATCTACCTCTACCTTACATGTCAAAAAGCTCACTCCCTATAATTTTCTATCCTTTATTTCATTCTGTTGATGCATGTTTTTGCACATCTGATGTTGTTTTGCACATTACCTGTTGTTGTTTTGCACACTGCCTGTTGTCGCTGTCTTTCTTTTATTATACAATTGCATTGTTGTTTTTTTGTCCCACTTATCGTCTGAGAGCTAGCTAAATAGCATTTCGTTATACCATATACCTGTATATGAGTGTAATGACAATAAACTTGAACTTGAACTTGAAATATACTCTTAAGAGCTTCTCTGTCCTAAATATTTCAAGGATGGGAACTTAGAAGAATGTTCTGAGGTACAGTATAAAATCCGCCGGGAATAAATAATGTCTAGGGCATGGCAGGAGAAGATGCATTTGTATCCTTCTCTGCAAAGTCATGTCTCCCACCCCTACATGTTCATGAATCCAAATTCTAATGGGACGAGTCAGCACCGAAAGAAATGAGGTGTCTTTAAACAAAGGGATCACCCCAAAAGCAAGAGCACGAGCTCAGGCACGGTTGAGGACTCGTCTCCCACAAGCCCGTTCTTTTGGGGTGCTTTAAAGTATTTAAAGTTACTGCTTATCCGACCATGCAGATGCTGAGATTACATCCTCCAGAACACTTGTGTTCCAGTTTTCTTCCTGACGAACAAGGACAGATCCATCCTACCACGTATCTCCCCTGAGTCTACAGATCCAACTGTGTTCTACAAGAAAGATCTAGGGCTTTTTGTGTCGCGAAAACCTTTCGATTCCTCTACTCCTAACTTCCAGATGCCCTCTCAGCTGGCAGCAGGAAGTTGGGGCGAAACGGCACCTTGATAACAAGTAATAAATATTCTTCAAGTCTACCTGCTGACAGTGAAATTTGCCGCTCCACTGTGCAACACTGATGAAGGAGCAATGAGAATAAAGTAATCAGTTCCATACTGATGTGCGCATTACCAAAGAGAGGTGAAGGGTTGTGGTGTTTCCAAGGCTGCAGCTAGAAAAAAACCCGAAAAGGATAGCTGACGAGGTGACCAAGGAGAAGATGGAATTCTTAATGCCAATGGAAAGAAAAACAAGAAAAAACAAGCAAGCGGCTTAAACTCCTCAGCTGAGCTCTGTTAATTGAGGAATATTGAATGAGCATCGCAGAAGGAAAGGAAAAGAGAACAAGTGGCTCCACTTTAGATTTCAGGATCTTATTAAGCGTGTTCCGAGTCTGATCAGAAATTTAGCTCATGTGTGGTGTTTTCCCTTACCGGGGCCCAAGGTCAACGGGCGACGGCAATGCCACACACTGAACATTCGTCCCGGATCTAAGGTCACCTCGACCCACCGGTATCAGCATGGTCCGAGAGTCGCTACTGACACAGCACCAGGAACACTCTGCTGTAATATACAGCCCGTGGAGTGCTCGTCTAGGAATGGGAGTCAAAGTGCGCTGAGGGAAATTGAAATCACTGGACCTTGTGAAGAGAGTGTAACTTCTATATCCAGTCAAAACTAACGTGAGCCAGCACAGTTAGAAACTCTGGCCTAGCAGATGAATCAGCTGAAAGTGGATTCTGGCTCCAATTCTGTCTTGACCTGCTCTCATGGTTGACGTTACCATGCAGCATTTTGCACAGTTAATCTGGCACAGGCATGGCATCACTGGATAGAAGCCATTTTCCAAACCGACCCACACAGATCAAAAGGCCACATTTACAGCTGTAGCCTAAAGACCTCTGTGTGACGCCCCTGCCCCACCAGTGTCGGCCCAGGACAACACACAAGCTCAGGATAACGTGCCAGTGAGTGCATCTCTCATCGCCAAGCTCCTGTTTAACCAACTGTGCACAGCAGCCTGAGACGGGACATGTGTTGCAGATCAGGACTCACGGGCTACCTACCCCTTTGCAAATGGCTACTGCCTCCTTGCTCATGGCCTTCGGGTAGGACACATGGTGCTCCATGATGGACTGGAACAGCTCGTCCTCGTCTTCTCCGTCAAAGGGGGGCTGAGGAACAAGAGACTGGGCTCAGATAGGGCAGGGCTGCTCCTACATCAGTAAGTTATGACTGCGCCATTGGTTGCATGGGTCTTCACAGACCACAAGAGCCAAAACACCCGATAAGCCCCTCCGTCGCCAGCTGTCTTCTGATCAACGCTTCCTCGATGGGCCACAAAGACCTTCCAGGCTGCAAAACCAACATAGGCTCTTTCCAAGCCTTCCCAGCCACATTTGCTGAGAAGCGTCAAGTTTCTCATTCAAAAGTGCTCCTCCGCCGACACAACGCAGCTAAAAAGAGGCTTGTGTCGAGGCAAGCTCTTAACTGTTCTCCTTTTTTCTTCTCTGAATTTGTTTAGGGATTTAAACATTTGTGAGATAAGGAGTTAATCACAAACAGCCCGGGGGACTGAATTCGGGCTTTTTCACAGATTTCATTTTTGAGGACTGTTTCTTTTATATTAAGAGAGGTTATAAAATAAGAACTGCAGGATTTTTGCGCTTTTTCCTTTGATACAAGAAATGCACAAGATGTTTGGTGGCGCTTTCTGGAGAATTAAGCGACACAATTAACATAAACTGACCTTGAGTTAGCCTTCTTACAGTAACAGGATTTGCGAAAGGCAGAACTTGCAATACTAGGCCTATTGCCTGGTAGTACGATCATTCCCAGGCCACTCTCACCTGCCCGGCCAGCATCTCGTATAGCAACACGCCAAAGGCCCACCAGTCCACGGACTTCCCATAAGGCTGATAAGCAATGATCTGAAAGACAAGACAGGAAGAAAAAAAGCCATCGTCTTCAGCAAGGTGCGTCAGCAAATGTTCCATGTGTAAACCATGCTTTTGAACAGAGGTCTCAAAGCAGTCTTCAGAGCAGAAGAGCCATACCGTTTGCCCTAAAAAGCTTAAACTAGTAATTTTGCAAACTCAAGTCCTTGCATTTCTACTGTCTCACAGTTAACTATACTGTACTGTACCTTTCTGTTATTCTGTAATTTCACTTTAATCTTAACAATGGAGTTTTATAGTTATGGTTATTAAATCAATTCTAATTGATTAAATCAGTCAAGTGCCTAATGGCACACAAGAGTTTATATCGGCTTACTGCTCATTCCTAACTGACCAGGAACACACAGATTCTCCCAATTCTACGTGTTGGTACTATACAGTATGTTTGAATGGGTCTCTACCAATACAATAAGCCCATCAGTCATAGCAAAGCTTATTCCTACATGAAATCACAGTGCAGTAACGGAGCAGCCTGCTCCTACTCTGCTGCAGTGTGCAGGTTTAGCACACTCTGAACGATCGTGTGTACACCCAAGCGAATCTGAGATGGCATAGCAAATGCTAATCCTACAGAAAACACAAAAGCACACCATGTGCCTTTTTGTAACTGGGAATCCCTCACTTCAGAGGTAAATGAGACCTCCAAGGAACCAGACACCAGGTTCCCGAACCAGGAAGCACCTTAAGCACGTGCAAACCATTTCCATCAGTTCGTGTGTACACATGCAGAACATTTATATACAGTAGTAGACCCACCTGAACTACTTCTTTACAAAGTCATTATGTACAATAATATCGTAGGCTGGTTTGCCAAGGATAACTCTATTAGATTTCTGAAGCTTGTCCTCATCCTAGGAGCTCGGAGTTTCAACTTTCTAGAGATTAATATTAAGGTAATGAGTGCCAATACTTACTGTATGTCTCCAGCATTAAATATGTATTATTTCTTTATTTTCTCTGATATCTTATTTGAAAGGAAAAGCACACTATGTGTTTTTTTCCCCTCGTATTTGCTGTGTAGCTCCCTCTATGTTCCTCACTCGGGTGCTACTAGACCCCCGGCAAGACCATCTGCTGTTCTGTCAGAGAAACCCGCGACATCTTTTCAACTTCATCTCACTGCTCCTGCCGGCGCGACGGCCTCCCGTTCCCCCCACGTCACGCAGCTCCGGGAAATGTGGTTCCCGCCCACAGCCAGAATAAATATATTTATTTATTCTATATATATATAAATATAATCTATAGATGCGCCAGGCTGCCAGTCACAGCCCCATCTTGGCACCAGTCTGTACATCTGTACTGTACTGCCCTCGTGCAGAATTCCAAGAGTCATGCAAAGTTTTTTAATTAAAAACAAGATGGCCGCTTCCTGATTCTTGACAGTCAGACTTTGCTTCTACTCTACTGAAGAGGCTAGAGAGTTCTCCTGGCACCTATTCACCGTCTTCTAAGCTGTTTAAAGTATACTGAAATCTCTTAAGAATGATTTTAATGAGAGACTCCTCTGAATAGCATGGCAGATATTTTAATTCTGTCTTTTGTGTGCAGCTGTTTGTGACAAGGAAGCTCTGGCGCTGGACTACTCCTCACAAATTCTTTTTTGACAGTTTTGATATGCCGATTAATAAGAAAAGCAGTTGCCAGGCGATACTCTAGGGATGGTTTTACAGCCCTTTCACGTCTGATGGCCTGGGTTCGAATCTGGCTGAGATGGAAAAATGACAGGAATGGCATGGAAAATCCATCCATTAATAACCATTTAATAAAAAAAACTAGACACTTCTGCCGACGAGAGAGGAAGGATTAAGGTTTGTAAATTATACAAAACCTCACCGCGGTAGATCATACTTGACTGGAACACAGCACAATTTACTTTCATTTTATTAAATTTTTTAACGAAGCGGGGTTAAAATCTCCTTTGTTTAGGGAGACGGGGTGGCTGCCTTTCTGTTCTTGTAGAAAAGCCAAGCATACTGAGGGTTACTCAGCAAACCCACGCTTGAAAACAAAGAGCACCGTGAAAATTGGGGAAAAAAAGTCGTGGTAAAAGTGTAGTGAAACCCATTACTACACAGCACAAAACAGCACTGGACGCCCGCTTGTGAGAGGGCACTATGTGGACAGGCCAGGGAAAATTGTGCTGCAGTTACTGGCTCTCACAGAGCTCGCTGAACCTGTCGCTGTGTCTCCTCAGCATATTTCTTCAGCGAGAACATTAATAATACAGCACTTTAATTCTTAAAATAAACGTTTTCATCCTGAATGGGGTGTGGGGGGGGTCTATTGGCTACTAATGCCCTCAGGAGTGCACGGCTTTGTTAAAACGCTTAGGAGCTGCGAAGGAGTGGCCCTAGTACTGAGGTAACACTTCTCCCAATCTCCCTCACACGCGCGCGTCGCTCACCTCGGGCGCAATGTAGTCGGGCGTGCCGCAGAACGTCTTTGTGGTGGCCCCGTCCCACATGTTCTCCTTGCACATGCCGAAATCGGCGATCTTGATGTGCCCTTCCGCGTCGAGCATGACATTATCCAGCTTGAGGTCCCTGTGGCAGGAGACGCCATTTGTGAGAGAGGTTATCGGCGCCGGGCTTCTCACGGCTTTGAACTTATCAGCACACATAAAGGAGATGACAGGCCGTCTATCAGGTACTAATGGATCGAACCTGATCTTATCTTATCATACAGAGGCAAAAGTGATGCACTAATGCAGGCAAACCACTACAATCCCAGAATCCCCAGTGTTCAAGCCACACTAAAACAGTGGCGTGGCAGATTTTTCTAAAATCGGAGGCCGGGGTGATTGGAGTGGGCTAGGTTTCTCTGTTGCGACAGAACGTGGTTGGCTCGCACATGTGAGACAAAATGGCCCTGAACTACTCTGCCTTATGAGCGCAGTGTCAGTGTTCCCTGTTTTAGTGTGGCTTGAACACTGGGGATTCTGGGATTGTAGTGGTTTGCCTGCATTAGTGCATCACTTTTGCCTCTGTATGATAAGATAAGATCAGGTTCGATCCCTTTATTGGCCATATACAATTTCTTGCATTAGGAATTCGTCTTTTCACATACCCCAGCTTGCTCTCCATGAGACACAGACAGGGAGAGAAGCTTGGGGTCAGAGTGCAGGTCAGCCATTTCTACGGCACCCCTGGAGCAGCTGGGGTTAAGGGCCTTGCTCAGGGGCCCAACGGAGTAGGGTTCCTCTGCCGGCCGCGGGATTCGAACCGGCAACTTTCCAGCCACAGGCGCAGGTCCTTAGCCACAGAGCCACCACTCTGCCCCTATGAAAGCCAGCCACCACTTTGCAGCCCCCTTCCCCCGGAGAAAGACAGACTGCCATTCTATCCCTGTTTGTGCTTTAAAACCAGCACCTCGGCAGGAATAACGAGACAGGGGCTCAAGTCAAAACCCTACAGCGCTCTCTTTTCCTTGCCCAGCATTGCAGCAAAACGAGTCGTCATGCACAGCCATTCTACAGAGTCCGGAGACTCTAATGGAATTTTAATGCACTTTGGCTGCAACTGCAGCCCTTTGCAGACAGAGGCTGAGATACGTGGGGCCCGACTGGTATTAATGATTCAGCAGCAGCGCGGGGCGGCGGGCAGGGCCGCAGACGTGTGACTGCAAGGCTGCGGGTTCAAATCCCAGGTGCGCACACTCGAGCGAGGCCCTTCACTCGGATTGATCCAGTAAAACGCCAAGCTGTGTGGAAACGGACACAGAGGCCGGCCAAAATGAAGCGCTGGGATTTCCACATGGGGGGAAAAAACACAAAAACTGCAGCTGGACAAGTCTGCAGCAGCAGCACCAGCAGCAACAGTCCATTCGTATCAGCAAGTGATGGGGTGGGGGAGGGGGAGAGAGGAAAAAGGAACGGGGAGGAAGAAGGAGACATATTCAGACGAGATTGAGACAAGGGGCAGGGCGGGAGGGAACAATGTGACCCAAAACTGTTGAGTCCTGACTCATCAGGAGGAGAAAAAAGGAGAGGCAGGAGGAAAGGGAAGGAGCTACTGTCAGAGCACAGCTCAGGCTGAAGGCAGTTCGGGGGGGGGGCTGGGGAGACGATCGGCGCAAAACAGCTGCCATGGCGCGGCTGTATCACTGTCACCCGCAGCCTGCTGTCTGCCAGCAGCCATCCAGGAGAGGCCCTCTGCGGTGCCACAGGTCACTCTGCGCCCGTCCGTCACGGGCAGCTACTGTACCTGACACATCCCGGAATTCAGGGACAGAGGGAGGGCCCGCCTGGGAATGATGGGATTGACCCCCATTTCCAGTGCGGCACATCACTGCCCCTATATTCACTCTCAAGGACACAGTGCACAAGAACAGTCCCAACTCTGGAACTCCCTGATGGACATTATCGTAACGCTTCTTCCACTACACGTGGCTTAATGCAAAAAGACGCATCAGCTACTGATGATCTGAGGCAGAGAGTTTACAACCGGAGATCCTGGCCATTGAGGGCTGGAGTGTCTGTGTGCTTTCAGTCCAGCTAGGCTCTTGAACCGGACTCAGTTCTTGATTGGTTTCATTGGACCAGTCCAACAGCTTCTCCCAGCAGCTTCACACGGTGTCGCATTAAAGGAGACCTAAACCACCTGCAGACCCACCGGCTATCCAGGACCAGAACTGGGGATGCCTGGCTTACACCATCACCCTGGACTCATGTCTTTGCATCAGGAAAGACTTCAGGATTCAGAAAGCTTTAGACACATGCTACTGCATTGAATCGGGCAATGCATTCCGAAGACGGCTCTCAATGTGAACAAACACATTGATGCCTGAGCTGTTCTGCACAGGAGGGTAGCTCACAGCCCAGCTGTTTGTACAGAAGACCCTGGAAGGAGGGAGGGGAGCTGATGGAGGTCTCAGAGCATCACTGCTGGCTAGAAACCACACTGACCCTCGGCAGCCACCTGAGCTGGTGCTAAGCTAGGGTCCAGGCGATCTCCACTGCAGTGACTGAGAGTCGGTGCTGCAATCAGGTGGGTCAGCGCCGGGGTCAGAACCAGCAGGATCGGTACCACACAGGATAAGACTCTCCACCCCCCCCCCCACCCCGCACAACTGCTCAGCAGGTCACGCGAGCCGGACTCACCGATAAATGATCCCCTTGGAGTGCAGGAAGAAAAGCCCTATGGCGATCTCTGCCGCATAGAACCTGCAAACACAAAAGCAGCAATGTCTCCACAAGGCACACATCATTTTTCGCAAGGATCACACCTCTCACAATCGAGTAACAGCAGGGCAGCAGCGTGGGGCGAGAGCTGTGAACTCCTCACTGGGAAGTGGTGGGTTTTAAGGTGAGACACCGCTGTTGTACATTTGAACAGCGTATTTCATCCTGCTCTAGGAAAACACCCAGGGTGTCGAGAAAGGAGCAAACGGAAGTTGCCTTTGAAAGAACCATCAGCCAAATATATAAACGTAAGAGACAGACGCACTTCCACAAAAACATGCAGACTCAGATCTGCAACTCCTAACATCCTTTTATACAATATATAGTATTTTTTCAGCCTTTTTTTTGCCCTCTTTATCACCTCTGGCAAATACACAGCCATGAATATTAAAAAACACTGTTTGCACCCTAGAAAAAAAAAAGGCTCAGTTCATTCGTGCCAGGAAAGTAATTTAATTATTTGTTTTCTGTGTGAAGAAAGAAAGCAAAGAAGAAACTAGCTCCTAAAGAGTAATGCTGTCGGTGAACTTCTACAGGTCTAATAGCCCTGGTACTGTAACTGGGAGAAGCCAGGCATGGGAAGGCCTACTTTTCTCCGTGTGCGTGACTGGCACCCCCAGCTCGTTTAGCGGGACCCAGGCTCTGGCTGATGACTCCGAATGCCGCACGCATTAACCCCAGTAATCCGGGACGTCCCAGATCGAGGTGCAGGGCAATCCGCCGCTTCCCCCTCCTGCCCCCCCTCCCTCCAGACAACACCACCCCTCGCTGCGGCTAAGGGCAATTCCTCAACCGCACAGCTCCGCTGCCCCACGTCATCCGAGAGGAGAGCAATTGGAAAACCTGGGCTTTTGCTCAAATCAAAGCGAAATCTGACCATCTCCAGTAGATACACAGACGTCTACCCTATCTGTATTAGAGGAACTACCATGCCGTTCTGTCAGGGTGAATTTAGCTGCCACTCAAGGACTCCGTACTTGAGATCCAGTCCTTTTCTTGAAATCGTGACCTGCTTTCCACCTGGGTGGAAGGGTTAGCATCTCCCTACAGGGCAATTTAACTGCCCCGCAAGCTCTGAAGCAGTGAATTAGTAGGGCGATTCTTTCGGGCACCTGCCCTCTCAGTGGCAGAGGGCAGGAGATGCCACTGTCTTCAGGCAGGGCTCGTGCTTGGGCACAAAAGACTTTCCACATTTGTTACTGGAGTATCCTTGGGGGGGGGGACTGTCCAGAGGTGGAAAGGAAAAGAGCAACACGTCTGAAGATGGCACCAACAGGCCAACAGGACAATAGCAACACCTCCCTCCTGGCCAGGAGGACAGACGTCTCCGTGCTCTTCGGTTTTAGAATGCAAAGTGCACAAAAAGAAAGAGAAAAAAACTGGCAGAGAACAGAATTCCTCATTTCCCTACACTCCTCTGGCAAAACCCAGAACCTCCCAAAGTCCCAGAACACCCCCCCCCCCCCCCCCCCCCGGCCCCACTCAATCGCGGCCTGAGCCAGCCCCCAGGGAAGGGCACAGGGCTGCAGCCCGGCGTCCTTGAGGAGCTCGGCGCAGGATTCTCCTCAGCTCCACAGCCCTGGCGTGAGGCTTTCTTGATTTAACAGGCATGAAAAACAGCAGGACGCTTCAATATGTCAATTGTTAATTGCCCAATTAGCAATGGTTAAACGGGAAAAAAAACAAACGCGGCCATCTCCCCCCGCCCCTGCTCTGGAACACTAAAGCACGGCCTGTGACAAGGGGAGGCATTTGTAGAGCACACCAAAAAAAGGGGCAGAGCAGGGTGAAAGGATCCGGTTTGGATCCGAAGGGCAGCACTGGTCTTCTGTGGGGGATAAGATCCCACTGGAAAACACCCTTCCCACACAGGGATCCGCACAAGCCCTGAGCGCGCCCCCTGACCCAGGCTCACAGCGCACAATGACCCTCTGGAGTACTTCGGCACTCAATTCAATTCAATACATTTTTATATAGCGCCTTTCACAACAAGGTTGCCCCAAGGCGCTTAACAATGCAAGTGACCCTACATGTTGTGAACACAGAACAGAAAGGCCCAGAAGACTACGGAGGAGAGGAACCAAAAACTCCTCAGCAAGGAGAAAAACAAACCCTCTAGGGGTCCAAGGTCAACTGGCTGCCCAACCCCTTTGGGCATGCTAACATTACACAATTTAAAAAAAAAGGAATTTAATGAATGAGAGTCTTAATCCATCCACCCATCATGTCTTCTGTGTGTCAGTACTCCATGCAGATCTCTGCAGACCAGCAAAATCCTCCTAAACGATAGCTATATCCAGGATGCCCCTCTTGGATCCATGGCAGTGATGCAGCATCCAACTCGGATGGTACCCAGCCCGGGCGCCATCCGGACATGTGCGGAGGAGAAACAGGCAGAACACTGAGAAAAGCTGTAACGCGCTGTGCCAACGCTATGCCCTGTAATATCCCGAGGTGGGGTTCCCTGAGGTGTTAGGAAGACCGAGCACAGTCACAGACATTAGTCCAGTTTACCAAACTAACATTTTTTGGTGTTTTCTTATAATGCACACACGCGTGTGCGCGCCAGAGAGGTGTGTATATGTGTCTATATTTTTTTTTTGTCTTGTCTTTTTTTTTATTTTTTTTTTCTTTTGTCTTGTGTTTTGTTTTCTGTCCCGTCCTGTATGCAGTACAGGCGTAGCAGTATATGTGCAGCACACAGGCGTGTGAGACCTGAAACACAAGCTACCATGCCAGCTCGGGTCCAGTAAGCAGGCCTCTCGGGATCTCAGCCCCCTGCTGTGTCACATCTGGCACTCCACCTGTCCCTGCACTCAGGCGCCCAGCTCCTGGCAGCATACTCACACAGCGTGGGGCTCCTTGAACTTGCCGACCTGCTGGATCTGGTACATGAGGTCCCCCCCGTTGATGTACTCCATGACGAAGTACAGGCGGTCCTGCAAGGGAGGGCACACGGGTTGGCGAGCGTGTCTGCGTGTGTGTGTGCGCGCGCGCGCGGGGGGCCCACCACAGGGCAGACCCTGGCGCAACAGCCAGCCATTAACCCCCACCTGGAGGTGAGACAGGTTCCGACAAATCTGACAGCAAGGAATATTGACGCTTCGAGACTTCCACAGCAGCACTGGTGGCAGCAGGGATAGAGGGCAGCGCACCCTGGCCAATAATCATCCTCATCATCCTCCTCATCATCGTTCTTACTCTCGTATTGCCCTCCACTCCAAGCGCCTGACAGGTAAAGAGCTCCCCCGCCACCAGTGTGCAGCCCCACCTGGAGGATGCACCAGTCCGCTCCCCACACACCAGCTCTCAGTGGGCAGGAGAACAGAGTGATGGAGCCAGTTCAGAGATGGGGATTATTAGGAGGCCATGATTGGTAAAGACCAAGGGGAAATTTGGGTAACCAGGGTAACACCCCTACCTGGGATCTTTAATGACAACAGAGAGTCAGGACCTCGGTTTTACGTGTCACCCAAAGAGAGGAGCCTTTGTGAAAGTAGTGTCCACTGTACTGGGGCATTAGGACCCACACAGACCGCAGGGTGAGCGCCCCCTGCTGGCCCCTTTAACACCTCCTCCAGCAGCAACCTTAGTTTTTCCCCAGGAGGTCTCTCATCCAGGTACTGACCGGACTCACACCTGCAGGCCAGGTGGAGCAGGGGAGGGACTGGCTCAGTTATGCCCCCCGGCTCCCTGCTCTCTCGAGGCAGACACCAGGAGAGACGGACAGGCTCGTTACTGAAGCTCGAGCCACCGGAGGGTTTTATTTGTTCAAGGTCATTTTTTCCTGGTGATTAAGCCGGGTAATTCGGAGGTCTTTAGAAGCAATTCCTAATGTAAATTAGCCAGTGTGCTCACACATTAATGAACTGTGTACATAGTGTTAGCTGGCTAATGCAGTACAATTAATGACTCCCCACACACACCTCCAAAACACTCTCCCTCCTCCAGCGACTTGTCACAAGCCAAGAAGAAAAGCCCAGCAGATACAAAGGGGCTTCCGCACAAAACTATCCGTGTATTTAAAAATAACATATATTTGCTTTAAATGAAGCAGCTGCCTTATCAAAGTGATAACAATGAATCCTCTTTTTAATCTGAATTCCTCTGCTTCTGGGAACATTGGTTGAGGGAATTAAGGCAGTAAGTGGGATTATTGCCCTGAAGGGCTGCAATGCCTGGGGAAAACTGTCTACACAGAACAGAGCTGAAGAAGAAACATCCCATTATCGTAAAACACACAGAGCCCGATTCGTGCAGCTCCTTCAGTGAAGTGCAGCTCACTTCAGGCGGTCTGCTGGGAGCCCATCAGCCACCTCACTAAAGTACTTGTAGAAGCCCGATTCATCAATTAGGAGCATCCTTGATTGATTTTACAGCACACGACTATGATGATGAAGATAAGATCAGATCACTTTACTGGCCATATACAAGTTCTAGTATTAGGAATTTGTCTTTTCACATACCCCAGCTTGCTCTCCATGAGACACACAGACAGGGTGAGAAGCTTGGGGTCAGAGCGCAGGGTCGGCCATTTCTATGGCGCCCCTGGAGCAGTTGGGTTTAAGGGCCTTGCTCAGGGGCCCGACAAAGTAGGATTCCTCCGCCGGCCGCAGGATTCGAACCGGCAACCTTCCAGCCACAGGCGCAGATCCTGAGCCACAGTGCCATTGCTCCACCCCAGATGATGGGGGAAACTGAATAACCTCCAGCTCTCACCTTCTCGTTCACTGCTCCTTGTGAGCCTCAGTTTCCACTGCCCACTGACTGTGAGGGACAGAAGATCGCGCCTCACTATCGGCGCGATCTGTAGTGGGAACGTGTCCCCCGAACATTTTTAAATACATCTACTCTTAAGTGCACTCATACCCTGTTCAAACCGGATGAATTTTAAAACATGCTGCCCTGCTTCTTTCCTGTTCTTACAGCATTAGGAATTTATATAGCCACTGGCATGTACATGTAAGCAGTTTGTAGGCTCGTGTGGCATAAAAAAAAAAGATACTGACTGTAACTCAATGCTCAGTTCAGTAGGTCTGCACATTGTTTCCTTAACCTGAAAAGCTTAACCCTGTGTGTCTCACGCTTCACAGCAGCAAAAATGTCCTCGAAATCCTGTCTGTGGTGCTGTTTTCATAAGCCTTTTGCCCTTGCATTCTTACAGTTATTGTAAAGATCCGCCCCTCCAGAATACAGGAAGGGAAAAGACGCTGCTAGTTGTGGGAAACTCACCACAGCTCATTGGAAAACTAGAACACACCGCGCCGAGTTTGGACTGGAGCTCACCAGCTTTGTAAACCAGCTGGCCTGCGACACATTTGTAAGGAATGTCCCAGAAAGAGTAGGAGGATAAATTGTTACGAATTTGCATTGACACCCCCAACAGTGTTGAGATTAACACTTTCAGTCAGGGGTTGCACATTACGATTTCTAAATTCTTTATCACTTTGAATCAATTAACAGAGCATTAACAGCACAGGAAAATCACCTACATGCCTTGACCAGCAAATACAGCTGCTAGGCTCTTCCACTTTTTACTAGCCTAGACAGCATTTTGTTTTACAAGCGTTTGCATGGTGCACGCACGCTGAAAACATTGATTCAGACTGATCTGGAGGGGGGGATGCACTATTCCTCGAGGGGGTGTGCGAGGCCACAGGCCGCATGCTCACCATGGTCTGGAAGCAGGAGTGCAGCTGGGTGAGAAACAGTGGCTTCCCGGACAGAGCCAGCACCCTCTTCTCCACCATGGTGCACTCCACATCATCGTCCTGGATCACCACGTCCTTCTTCAGGATCTTGATGGCGTACAGCTCGTCGGTGCCCTTCCTCTCCGCCAGCATCACCTGCGCAGGAGGCGGAGAGTGGTGAGAGGTGGGTTGGGCTGACAGTGGGAAGAGAGAGCGTGCGTTTCAATGATGCTGAATGGGGCTCCAACTAGTCTGTACAATGAGCACAAAGACCATGAAGGCTGTGTAGGTCCCCTTAAGCCCTCAGCAGCACAAGAGCTCAAGCAGAGGGCTAAACTCACTCAGTTAAGGCTAAACAAGACCCTCTTGGTCAGATCTAAAGCTGGTGATGTAAATATACCTACAATACCTGCCAGACTGATGAGTGAGTGCTGGGGAACTGGCTGCCTTTTGTAAAAGGAGGAAAGTGATCTATTCCCACAGGACAAAAGACATTCTGAGAGAAGGAGGGATGGGGGTAGGAGGAGACCGAATAAAAGGGAAAAAAATGCTTTTTCTCAGCCACGAAGGCAGGCAGCCATCTCTTTATTTCAGGATCTTTCCAGTCCCCCCCCGCCGCATAGCCTTTGAGAAGCGCAATGTTCCTGGAGAGGCGCTCGGCACACCAAAGTCAAAATGACAGGGCGGATAGGGCGCCTGAGGCAGAGCGCGGGGGACCTGGTTCAGACACTGCCTGGGGCAGGGCTGGGGACAGGCAGGGGCGGAGAGGTTGAACAATGCAAGCAGACAGATTATCTGTGCGGATCGGAAACCTACTCGCTGGAACAGAAGAGACACAAAGGCCAAAGAGGCAAAAAGGCAATTGTGTGCCCCAGGGCGCTGTTGGCAAGCATGAGTCACGGGTGACCCCAAACCTCTCACACTGGCTGTTTCCGGACCGATGAAGTTCAGGCAGGGTCTGAGAGGGGGCGTGTAGCAGACGAGAACAGGAGCAGGTTCTTGAGAGAAATGAGTATTTAATCCCTTAACCAGACTGCCCAACGAAATGCTCTTTCCTAACCCAGCAGACACAGTGACAGGGAAATGCCGGGCTCTCACCCAGACCCCTGCCGGACCGCTAGGCTGGCCATTCCCAACTCTTTCAGGGCCAGAAAGGCAATCCGGAAGGGAGTGGGCAACTATCCCAAGAGTTTTTTCTACCTTTTCTTCGAAAGGTTACCGAATGGACAAACAGTCCAACAAGCAGAATAGACCAATTGACCTCTCTGAGCCTGTGGTTTTCTCACATCTTTACAAGGAGGTGAAAGTTCTCCATGACACACACCGGCTCCCTCTCTCTGCCCCAGCCAGCACGGAGAGACACACAGTGGGGCCATCGCAGGGGCCAAATTTCAGGCTGAAAACTGACACGGTTTGCAAGTCCAGCCTGAACGTGTAGGTATGATGTATATAGTGCGCAGGGTGGCGCTTTGCTACAAAGCCCATTCAAACCCTTTTCCAACCAAAGCTCCACCGCAGGAGAAAAATGAGACGCACGGCGCACGATCTTTCTGAGGAGAAATGAAAAGGTGTGGCTCTCCGAATGCTCCTCTGGCACTTTTTAGTAATAGCTGGAGTGAAGCCCCCAGACATGGTGCCAGTAAAACCAGAGCTGGAGCAACTGGGCAGGTTTTCTCCTTCTTACCCCATGCTCATCTGTGGTACGGGGCTAGAAACTGGTCTGCGGTGAATTTCTGCGCTTCGAAAAGCTCTTGTGATCCTCTGAAGATCTGCAGTTTAGCGTCATGCCAAGCAAAACCAAACTACAGAAATCATTCGAGTAGCGCACTGTATGACTACATCATCTACCCATTAAATTAACCCGGCTAGACAAGAGATCTGACTTAAAATACACCTCAGAACCACATTCCACACGAGCAAGGGAGCGAAGGAGCATTGGTGCTGTAAGACTATTAAACCGCGTGAAGGATTTCAATTATTCAATTACGAGTCAATTATTGATAGACCTCTTGTCGTGTCAGGGATGAACAGCAGACAAAAGACAAGCTTGCAAGTGCAACCGAGCACCCGTTCAAAATAAAAACAGAACCAAAAGGCAATTTTTCGCCCTGCCACTTGCCAAACAGATTTCGGTGTCACGCGGTGTCGCAGCGCGCTCAGGCTAAGTGTGAGTGATGGCGGTCGGGGGTGGGGGCGGATGGGCACGACGCTCACTCAATCAAACGCCCAGCCTGAAGGGTCCCTTAGACAAGGTGAGAGATGGGCAGATAGCAGGCGAGCCAATCAAGAACGCATTCTGCCCTCATCAAACCCGAGAAACACAGATGTCACCTCACGTCAGTCAACCCCCTCCCCCTCTGTCTCAGCCCAAAAAACCAGAAAGAAGCAATTTCACGGTGTGCGATACTAAACACAGAGTGTCATGGCCAGGGTCTCTTTCAGTATGGGGAGACGACTGATACCTGCCACCTTCTGATGGAGGAGCAGAGTGGTTCAAATTTGGCCTGTTTGGCAAGAAAGAAAATACCAGCTTAAAAGCTCTCCCATTTCAAGCCTGCTCCTCCGTCACTGTGGCCCTGATAGAACAGGGAACGGTGTCCAACACGCACACAGGAACCTCAAAGGCTCCAGATACCTTTCACAAGAGCTGTGCTTTTGTAAACAGATGTGTCAGTTTTGTACAGCATTGGGAAAGGTGAAGAGAAAAAAAACCGAGGTATTGCTCACAGACTTCGACGTGAACCCAACTGTGAAGCTCGGGAGTCTGCATTCCACCTCAGGAAAACCTTGGAAATTAATTACAGGTTTGATTGTGGTTTGAAAATTAACAGTAAAAAACATCCAACAAATGTATTGTTTTTAGTATTCGGTTATCTGTGTACGTCTACAATTGTTTTAACAACATGTGCGCTGCTCTTTTTTTTTACTAATTTACACAGATGACATTGATTTTCATTCCTTGCATGAAACCTTGCTATTACTGTCAAATAAATTGTCTTTTTTGAAGCCTTGCCCAAACAGAAGGGAAGGTTGGGGATCGTTTTTTTTTTCATATGCACAGTACAAGAGGAAAAAAAGGAAATCTCAGCTTTTTTGTTGAGAAGTCAACTGCATGTCACAGAGAACCTGAAGTCAAAATCCTTCACTTCATCTCAAGGCGTGGGAAAATTCACTCTTTTTGGAATATTTTTCATTTATAAGTGTCAAAATGAATTAAAACAACAACAAAAAATGACATCAGCACTGCCACCAGCAGTGATAAAAAGTAGGATCTGAGTTGGTAATGATAATAATGATAATGATAATGTTTCTTTATTAGCCCTATACAATTTCTTGCATTAGGAATGCGTCTTTTCGCATACCCCAGCTTTTCTCCATGGAGACACGTCGAGGAGTTTATCACATAAACAGTAGATATATTTGAACAAGTACTTATTAACATATTAATAACATTCTATACCATGAAAAAAACATTAGTGACATATTCTGTTTTATTAGCTGTGCATTTAAACTAACAGGAAATGTGTAAAGTCTCCGTCTATGAGATCTATATAAACAGCTATTCCTATCTTGCATTCTGGGACACACTGTTAATACTTCTCTTTTCATTGTTAATACTTCTACTAATAAATTATTATTATAGACTGGAGCTGTACATCAAACAGCTGTGTTTTCACTTATATTATGTGAGTTTAATGGCCTGACTGGGAAAATAATACTCTCAAATCTGCAATTCTGACTTTACTACAGGGTATAAAAGCGTTCACAGAGCAGATGAGGGAATTCCGGCTTGTTTGGCTTTCAGTAGCTACATGGTCTGATAATTTCATTCAGCCATGGTTTTTGAAGAAGCCAGGGTGCCAGATTGAGCAACATGCCTAGACACCGTGTTCCAAACCCCCACCAGTGTTGTGTAAAAACGTGTTTCCCATTCTCAGTTTTAAATACACTTCCTTGTACTCATGCCCTCTGGTCTGTGTTTCACTGTTCCTTCTGAAGAAATCCTGAAACTGACATTGTCGATGACTTCTTGGACAAAGGATTTTGAATTCTTAGATCAGATCTCCTCATATTTTCTCTTTAGGACAAGATAAGCATGGTTGTTTCTCATGATACTTTCTAAACTATTTCACCTAGCTTTTGATTTTATGTTTTAACTTTCACATTTTGATCATGATTTTATTTTTTAAAAATCAGAGTCAGATAGGAATGACGGAAGATTTTAAAACAACTAAAATAGGAACATGTGAATAGATACAAACGAAGGGAGCCCATTTGGCCCATATGAGCCAGTTGGAAGTGCAATAGGGAATTCCAGGAAGTGACATCACCACAGCAGCCTCACTTTTGCTCTGTGTAGAGTCTGAAGCTGTACAGCCAGGCTGACGAGCACTTGGCTGCCTCCAGTTACTGCTGTGCAAAACCACAAAGGAGGAGGCCTTGCCACAACAGGGGCATAACACTGCTGGAGTCTGGTAAAGTAACAAACTGTCCAATCGCTCCATCACAGTGGCAGAATAGTGGACACAGTACTAGATTTTGTCTTTCCTTTCCTAAGGAGAAGAATTTGGTTGGTGAATTTATATCACAGGCTCGGCATCAGATTGTGCTCAGAATCAGGATGGGACTGCTGCGATGATGTCACTCCCTGGGACTTGAGCTTGGGGCTGGCCCTTTGGCATAGCAGGTTTGATCCTTGTTTGTCCTGTGCAGTTCTGGCGCCGGTGCTACTGGGTATGAAACTGTGTGGGAACTGTGTAGCAGCCTCCTGCATGGTGACGAAAACATCTGGCCTAATAGACAAGCCATTATTTGGATGTCGATTGACGGGAAGCAATCTAGCATTCAGTTTGAAAAAACTCACTAGCGGAGGAGATCAAGGGCATGGCGGCCTGTACAGGTTCATAGGAAGAGTTTGTTCACTGCTTGAAGGCTCGGTTCCTAACAATATTCTAACTGTACAGCTGATATAACAGCCTACATTGCATCAAATACCTCAAAAAGGAAAAACATCACTTCAAGGGGGTTCTGATTAACAGCCTAATGAAGGCTTGCACTGTCATATCAATCCGATTTACAACTATTACTAGTTTATTATTATTTAAACTATTTTTATCTCCTGTCTCCATGGAAACCACACAGGCCTGGGCCCGAGCTCCATCTGTTGAAACAAGTTTTTTTTGTTATCAGACACAGCGATGCAGCCTGACCTGTGTCCCTCCACTGGGACGATCTGGTTGGAGTGTCCTGCCTCTCCAGGCACAAGCAGCGCTGTTAGGGACCGGATCTTGTGCAGTTGCGCAGAGCCCAGACTGGAGACCTGAGCAGTGCGCGGAACTGCTATGCTAACCTGACACCCTGCACGGCTTCATTTCATTTCATTCAATTTATTTTTATACAGCGCCTTTCACAACAAGGTTGCCCCAAGGCGCTTAACAAAGCTGTGTGACAGTACATGACGTTACAATACAGGAAGAGAAAATTCCAGAAGACAACCGAGGAGAGGAATCAAAAACTCCTCAGTAAGGAGAAAAACAAAACCTCTAGGGGTCCAAGGTCAACTGGCTGCCCAACCCCTTTGGGCATGCTAACACTATACAATTAAAAAAAATGAATTAAATGAATGAGAGTATTAATCCATCCATCATGTGTTCTGTGTGCCAGTACTCCATGCAGATCTCTGTAGACCAGAGATCTGCATCCTCACTGAGACATACTGTAGAAGAGTCTCAGCCATACCGCCCCTTACCAAATGCATGGCTGAGCATACGAAAGGTAAGCAGGTAGGCTAGTAGGTACTGTAGCTTTGTAGTCTGCGGTGTAGGAGACCGTGTAGGTGTGAGTGTGTGGGTGAGTGGGGGCAGTTACCTTTCCGAAGCTGCCCTTGCCCAGCACCATGAGGAAGTTGAAGTCCGAGAGCTTCATGCGGTCCCGGTTGCCGTTGTTGTCGAATTTGGAGATGGCGTTGGAGGAGGAGCTGTCCATGTTCTTTGTCCCAGGACCGATCTTGGCTCTCTGGGAGAAGTCAAACAGAGGGAGAGGGATCATGAATGAAGGGGACAGGGGCAGAGAGAGGGACTGGGGACTGTGTACTACCCTCCCATAATCGATCCACAGCAGAGCCAATTCCAATAAACCACACGACTGCAGTTGCGTGGCTCAATATGACTCAGCTCAAACCCCGGAATGTTGTGCAAACCCAAAAGTCAATAGGGAGGGTCCAGAAAATGACACAGCATGGTTTAAGAGCCCTTCTCTGTTGTCTTCCTGTAGTTTTCATATGTGATTTGTGATCTGAGAGGGGAGAGATGTTAAAATGAAGCTAGAGCACAAGTTTTCACCCTACTTGTTTCTAAGTTGACCCTGTGATCTCCTGGTGTATGATGTGTGTATCTAACCCGGAGAACAGCCCAAGCCCATACATCAGACAGCCAGGCTACTTCACTGTGGCCCCACGGCCACCTGCTTTTAAACCAGCATGGATACCATTCTGACTCCCTCTGTGTCACCGTCAAAACAGTCATGCAGTAAGTTGCCCAGGGCTCTCCTCTTTAGTGAGTAAGATACTGTAATACAGGGGCACCACTGTTCAACAGGGAAGTATGAAGCCGTGCACACAAGTAGAAGCAAGGTGGAAGTAGATTCACAACGGAGGATAGGAGCTATTTCTTTACCCAAAGGGCACGTTGTTGGAGCCGGGCTGAAGTCAGGAGTCGAGGGACGAAGGTAGAATAACTAAGACCAGAGTTTCAGTCAGAGGGGATCGAAGGCTTAATATCCAAGTCACTGGGCTGAAGTAGGAGTCGAGGGGCGAAGGTAGAATAACTAAGACCAGAGTTTCAGTCAGAGGGGATCGAAGGCTTAATATCCAAGTCACTGGGCTGAAGTCGGAGTCGAGGGGCGAAAGAAGATTAATTCCCAGACCAGAGTTTCAATCCGTGAGAGACTGTTTCAATAGAAAACGACGAGGTAGGAGCTTCAAGGATAGAGGCCAATACCGAGCACAGACCTAAGGGTAATGAGGGTTTAAATATCCCGGGAAGTGGATATTTAAATCCGAAGCGAATCATTGGGGAAGGGCGGATTGTGCGGACACCCATCTCCAGATCCCAGCTCTCTTCCTCGTTAGCCCAGCCACTGGTTAATTGGGCCGCAGTCAACCCTGCGATCTTGGAATATATGCAGTTTTAATGCTCAGAAGCAAGCGGTACTAGCATGAAATTCCCAGTCTAGCATGAAATTCCATTAACCTGGCTCCTGCGGGTCCGATATTACTGGCGCGCAAGGCCTCCCCGCTAACACGAGCGGGCTCTGGTAATCTCCCAGCCCTGGCGACGCAGTCCGCGTCTCGGTTTGTTTCTCCGTCCGTCTGGGTCTTCCTTCCTTTCATTTCCCTTTCTCAGCCTTTCCTCGGCAGCGCAGCCTGTCCTCCGTCAAGGTCACCCGCGAGCCGGTGCCGAGGAGCCGCAGGCACGGGGGAGAAACAATCTGACGAGCGGAATCAAAGCGCAGCAGCGTGGCCAGACTCACAAAAACGGAGCGGCTCTCCGAATTTCGCTCGACCTCTCCCTGCCGCCTCCCCCCACCTCCCTTCCCCTCGCAAGAAACGCGCAAAAATCGATTTGGTGCTCCCCTCAAGGTCTGGTGCGTTGTAACAATGGCAAGACTTACAAGTTTCCACTTATTTATTTGCTCTCAAGCTATCTCGTTTTTTATGGAGCTTCATTTCCTTCAAGGAAAGATAATTCCTCTTTTTTTTTTCCTGGGGGAGGGGCGGGTTATTGAAAACTCACGAGCGGTAATCTCTTAAGAATTCCTCACAGTGCAGCGCCCTACTGTGCCCGTGCTTACAAGCAACTTGAATTGCTCCCAGAGCTGTAGTTCCCAGGAACAAGGAAAGAAGAATGCCTCCTTCCCAGGTTATCAACGTTTACACTTAAAGTAAGCTGGTGTAAACAGAGGTTAGGGTGAGGATGGCAAACCAAGCTGATCTAGAAACCCGGATTGGGCAGTGTGCAATGAAGAGGAGGTGGATCAGTGCTCTTAGGTTGGATTTTAGCAGCTAATTGATCTCCTCCAGTCAAATAATGTAACTACACATAATTTTTGGCAGTTCTTGTTGCAACCACAGTCCCCAGAAAGCAGTAAAGAATTATCTGCTATCCTCGGTCACCTGATCGCAGGACGGCAGACAATTGGTGGGGTGGTAGTTAAAAACCAGGAAGTGGAGGCTTCCAGTTGTCAGCTCATATCCGATGGCATATCATGTCAGATCCTCAGCTATGCACTGAACCGTGAGGAAGATGGAAGCAAGCCAGTGCCCAGCCAAGAAATGTATGGATATTGGTTTGTGAGTAGCTGGATTAAGTCATTTTTGCTTTAGCAAAAGCATTTGTATTTTGATATCGGCAAGTCATTTAGATGCCCAAAAGGACTTGAGCCAGAGGCACTAGGTTTATGTTTTGTGTGTTATGGAGGTTCATCACACTATAAAAAGAGCACTATTTTTACCATACTACCTCAGATCCGTCTATTGAAAGATCCCAGAAGTGTCACAACAGCTTACTGAGATTTATAGACAGCGTGCATCGGCAGACGGGCATACTGGCCAAGATTCGTCTTCAAATTGAACAAAGGCTGCTTGTGAAGCCAACAATGATACCTCTCTGAGGAACAACAGCTGAGCCAGTAAGCAAACTAAAGCTGGAAGAGACAGTGTAGGAAAAACACACAGAGAAGGAATGCTCTTCTTTAAGAAAGGGCATGAGCTCTAGGGATACTCTCTGCATCAGCTTCCTTGCCAATTAGGCTGTTGTTGCGAAGAGAAAAAAAAACTGTGAGAAAGGCATGGTGCTTTTCATACTGAAGCTTCACGCCTCAGTAACTAGAGTCTCTGCGCTCTGCCTCTGCGCGCAGTCTCTTTAGCTGAGACAAGGGCTGTGTTTTTTTATTTCCCCTGTTTTACTCGAAATCCTTTCTTTTGTGCTCATTTGAAAGTTATTCCCCTGGAGAGGCACAGAGTAAGCATCACAGCATCGATTGAGCTCGGCTGCTGTGATAACCCTTGGCACAGAGGGAGTCTCCCTCTGTATCCTCATCTCCTCCACTAGAATCTTCTGCTTTATGGAAATGAAAGGTTGCGGTACAAGAATTTCTACCCTAAAATGTGGGCTGTGAGTTAATGGGATAACACATTCATCTCGGACATAGACTGAGGCAGGGAGCTGTAACAGGATCTTTGAATAGGCGGGTCTTGGAAAAGATGGTCACAGCTGTCAGAGCAGTAAAAACCAAACAAATAACACAAAAACCTTCCTCACTCCAAACTCTAGCCAAACAGTCTCTTTCAATCACCTCTCTATAAACAACCAGGGAGCTAGGCCTGGCTTCAAAACATGTCTCTCTCAAAAACTTTGAAAAAATCCCTCTTTGAAAAACTTTACAACGCGTCTATGGGCTGGTTGGTCTGCAACTTCCTTGCTCCCTTCTCCTTCCGACGCAGAGAATTACAGAGGCTCTGCTTTCCTCCTGGACAGCACAGGTCCACAGCCTCTGGAAGACCCCATGATTCCTTGTTTTACAATGCCACCTGACCAATTCCACCAATTGCTTTCTGGGAAATGTACTGTAGTTCAGACAAGAATCTCCATCTTAACTTCATCTACCGCCGTCTTACAGAATCTCATGTGCTTAACTTGGGAAAACCCGTGTGCATGCTCCTTCTCCTTAAAATGCGGACATATACTCTGGAATGCCACAAGAAATTTGGGCATGCGAACTAACCAGGGCAAGATCAAGTCCTTGTGGGACAGTCTCCTTGTTTCTCCCTTGCTAGTTTTGACTTTAGATATGTAAAAACCAAATGCACTATATATATATAGGCGCATCGGCTTCATGTACAGTTTCATCGATCCAAACTGATTCTTTTCACCCAACAGGACATGGGCTGGTACTTCTGGAGAAAGAGATAAGAACTGGCAACGCCTAGTTTATCTAAACATTTCCTAAACTAATCCAGATATGGTACGGTACATACCCGTAGCTAACAGTGGATTTCTGTGGTATAAATAAGTCCAATTTCCTTTAATAAGACTACGCTTGCCATGAGGCCACGACTCTCACTGCTATAAAACCACAGTAAAATTAGATAAAACAGAGAATCATGGTGACATATTTTACAAGTTGTGGGAAACTGGAAAAAAAGGTAAATTCACAGTACAGTACATGCATGTGAAAGCTACAAAATAAATGATGTAAATTCACTGTCGTAAAATCTTACATGCTATTACTGGTTTAGTTCAGGCGAACGACTGAACCTGATCACTTCCTTCCTAGCCAATGAGCCCTACTGCTCACACCCATAATTCCTCTGGGTCTCAGAGCCCCACCCACAATCCCGAGTGCATTCAGGGACTCCACCTCTAAAGGCAGGAGATGAGGGCTGGCAGGGGTCATATCCTGGCCCTGTCAGTCATACCGAAGGCGGCACAGGTCTGGTTAAAAATTAATTGCAGGAGATTCTTTGCCATTCAGCTCAAGGAGAAGAGGCCCTAAATAATGAATAGAGCTCAGGAGGAAGTAAATGACATTGGCAAAAAAGGGGAAAATAAACGTGGAGAGGTACCTCAAGGGGAGGCCAGAACAAGGCCATTAGCATTTTTAATGTATTTTCAACGCGGCCAACTTCTGCCTGAGTGGGAGCCCATCTCTCCCCCTGACAGGCAGTCCGCAGCACTCTGAGGAGGGGGGTGGGGGGGGCGTGTGTGTACGCGAGTGTGGGGGTGGGAGGGGGGGGGCGATTCTGTTAATGAGGAGATACAGAGACAGAGACATGGGGAAGGCACGCTCTCCACATCTTAATGAAACTCCGCTTGGAAATTCTGTTTGTGTAAGCATGATTTTAGATTATCTCGCTATCAATAGGTACGGTCTGCGGCAGCCTCTGGAACAGACAGAGAGGACCTCTCGCTACACTGCAGCAGAAATTTTAAGGAAAAACCGTTAAAAAAAACTCCAGAGGATTCTACTCTGCCCTTGACCGTGACCTCTAGTCTGGATGTTTCTAAGGTGAAGCAGTGACTGAGATACTGTATGCATGGTTGAAACTCTGTTTTAATATGTCCATAAATCTATCAAAGATTTATAATTTGGCCCCTGCATGTAGATTTAATTTTTTTTTCTGTGTGCCTAATAAATGAGTTCTTTGGCAATATTACAAGGATGGAGATAGGACTCCAATGGCACAGCAGTGAGCTCTGCTTCAAGTTACATGTACACATTGCACTGATGAAGCAAAAATGAAGTATTTTAATATTGTTTTTATACTCTACATGGCTCAAAAGCCAAACTTCTGTGCAACTGCTTAAGAGATTTCAAACTTCTGTGCAACAAGGTGGAATGTGATTTCAAAATGTTGTCACTACTGTACATCTGCCTCTCCAGAAGAGGACACTGCAAACCACCCACCTGTTAAGATTTAAAAAGTCAAGCGGAAACATTCAGTCTGTGGCCTAAACCTCGCAGAGGCTCATGTGTAATTTCGGAACATATAAATAACGCTCTCAAGCTCCCCAAGGTGACAGCTGAATTTATGCATCAACCGCCTCGGTCAGCGAATGGACTGTCTCTTATCACATCGAACTGTGATTTTTTTCACAGAGAGAGATGAGGTGATCTCAGTCACAGCTCATAATTCACACTCCAAGACTGATGCACTTCTGATTTGGATTAGCCCTGGCGTGAAGATCAAGCCTCTCAAGTACAGTTAGCTTGAAGATACAGAAATATGTATTGTACAAGTAGAAGACCTTTAACTGGTATCGAGATAACAGTGTTGGGGGTTCTCAGACGCAGGTACAGCACAGAGCAGAGACTAGGCTCTTAAAGGCTTTCTAGTCCGTTCACATGTCTAAACAGCAGGTACTGCAAAACGTGAAGCTGCCGGTCTTTTAATCTCAGGCTCTGGCATCTGCAGACGAATGTGTGCGTTTTTGTCCGAGCAAAGAGTGGTAGTGTGCACACTGTGACTTGGGATGTTAAAAAAAAGAACTAGGGTTGACAGTTAAGGCTTGACTGTGAAAAACTAAGCACAGCTGCAGAATTACATGACAGATCAGCAATATAACACACGTGTACAGTGTTTTGACGAAACATACAGTACTAAGGTAAGGCTAGCTTTTTTCGCTAGCGAGCCTAATCATCATATGAAGCTGCACTGTCTCAGTTAGCAGGACTTTGGTGTGCATCTCCCCTGAAGATATGCAATGAGTTGCTCAGTGTGACCCAAAACCGAGGACTTACCTCCAGATAAGTCCCTATCAGGGCTCCCTGTACCCCCTAACCTACTTACAGAAAAAGCCTTTGAATATGAACATGTACAGGAACTTTGAAGGTTAAATGCCTGCAACAATCTTCTTCTTCCCCCAAGAACAGCACTGACAGTCCTACTGTATGTCCTGAAGCCAGGATTCTGAATGAGACTCCTCACCGTATACTGGCAAAACGTCACCATCTTCTCTGTGCCTCTCAGCAGCAGCTCCCCAGCTGATCCACGATCCTGATACCTGTTGCCCAATGTCCTTCTTTGACTTTCACGCTAGACTGAATCTGTTTACGCGCAGGGGATGGCTTCTCATTTAGCTCGGAGCTAAAAGCCACAATTGCTGGTGGGCTGAACGGAATATTATTCTCCAGCAAACAGGCCAGATGTGCAAAATGAATGGCAGTTTTCGAAAAAGGGGGGGAAGTGGATTTGAACTGTAGGAGAGCTCCTCTCTGGTGTAATCTAGCACAGAGCAGTGTATCATTGAGAATTATGCCAAGGACTGTCGTAAGACACCAGCGGAGCAAGTGCTCTCCAGCTCCGACAGCACCACCTCGGGCGCAGGAGAGACAAGAGAGCCAGCACACGTGGGTGTGAGCGCCTGTTTGGCTTTAGGAAAACAAAAAGAGACACGAAAAAAAAAATCGTGGCGGGGCGATGGAGGCCCGCACCAGGCCTACTCACCTCAAACTTCTGCCTCAGCTCCTCGTTGCCCTCTTCTCCCTCGGGCGGGACCGGCACGTTGAAGTACTCGCCCTCCTCCTGACTCAGCAGCTTGAACCTGCGGGAGAGGCGGCGGCCGGCTGTTAGAGAGCGTGGACAGAGCGCCCCCCTGTGGCCGGGCACATCGACACAGACCGACCCGTGCGATCTGGGCGATATGTGACCGGCTAAGAAGCAGGCAAAGTGAGGGGGTGTGTGCGGTTTTAGCTCTGAATGATTTATTTATTTGAGATGGCGGGTTGCAACACTGACTCTCCCGTCCTGTGGTCTCCAAGCCAGCAGGTCACCAGCTAGGAGCAGACCCAGAGGTACAGTTCCCCCTCCGCTGCTGTACACAGGAGCTACAGAAGGGGCGGCGATTTCGATAACCCTGTGGGCATGAGCCAACAGCACCTGCTGTCAAGGCCTGGGTTATCAGAAGTGAGTGATACCCTCCTGATGCATTTGGAAATCCCATTCCCTTAAACATCTGCGTTTGTTTTCAAAAAGCAGTTTACGCCCTGTACATTCTTGTGTTTTACTTTCCTGACCTTTTCTCTTTCTTCGGGAGAAAAGGCTGAAACCCATTAAACCCCCCCACAAGCGTGGTTTCTTTTTCCTGACCCAGTGTGGAAGTCTGCTAATGAGCCAGACTGTCTCGAAGCTTCCTTCTTAACTCCCCTTCTGCTGTGTTCGTTTTGTACGTCTTTCTTACAGAAGCGATCGCACTTATCAGCGATAACGCTTCTAACACTCACTTGCGCCTAAATAAATCCGCTCTAAAATAAAAAAATCGGACTCTGTTAATAAACGTTACATCAGACAACTGAAGTCAGCTCCTGCCCAGTGAATGGCACTTGATTCATGCTCTGTTGATGTATAACACATGATAAAGACTTCATCAATAACATTTGCAAATGTCTAATGTAAAGTGTTGCTAAAGAAAGTGCAAAGAATATTTTATTTAGAAACTGCTTGGATTTTCGACACATTT